GGGGTGGGACCACCTTGTTTCTCAGGTTTCAATTCTGTCTCAACAGATTATTTTAATACATCATGAACGGGAAAATACACACTTTCCTTTCTTGCAGGCAGTACATCCGTTATAATGGTCAAAGCTCCACTTTGCAACCTTTGTCAGGGATTCCACTTCACTCCAGACAGACAAAGCAGGAAGGGAAAGAAAGCAAAGCAAGTATACACATAATCAGAAACCTGTTTGTATGCCCTCTATCTCTAAGAAAAACAGAAGCATGAAACTTACCTGCATTGAAACTCCTTCCACCCTTGCAATGCAAGCAACTCGGTCAAGAAATGTCACAGTGACCGGTACAGCCACAAAGAATCCACTTACAAATGCCCGAATATATCGTCTTCCATGCGGCAGTGTCATTCTCTACATAAAAAAGAAAAAGAGAAAACCTCTCGTTACAAGATGATTGACACTTTAAATACACAAACCATTCCCCTTGGCCCTCAGTAAGTTTAAAGTAGACAAAACACCACCAAAGGGGAACTGAAACCAATAGCAAGGTTAATTTAAAAAAAAAAAGAAAAGAAACCCACAAACTACAGCAAAATGGTCTAGAGAATGGGGAACTAGGAAGCTGCCCTGGAAAGCTCTTAGAAAAACTAATAGGTATAACTGGAAAATTCCCCAATCTTCCAACACAGCTACAGCCAAGCATTCTTATCACAAAATGATGGTAGCACCATCTCTTGTGATCTATGGAAACCAGAAGCTACTTTAATAGAAAGATACGGGGTCTAGTTTAAGAACTATACAGGTGAAACTCGAATAATTAGAATATCGTGCAAAGTTCATTTATTTCACTAATGCAACTTAAAAGGTGAAACTAATATACGAGATAGACTCATTACATGCAAAGCAAGATAATTCAAGCCGTGATTTGTCATAATTGTGATGATTATGGCTTACAGCTCATGAAAACCCCAAGAACCCCAAATCCACAACCTCAAAAAAGTAGATTATTACATGCAATCCATAAAACAAGGATTGTACATAGAACAATATCGGACCTCTGAAAAGTACAAGCATGCATATGTACTCAGTACTTGGTTTGGGCCCCTTTTGCAGCACTTACTGCAATCACTTTTGCACGATATTCTAATTATTCGAGTTTCACCTGTACTGTTGGGGAGAACTGTCAAATAAGTTTCTTTAATAGAAAGAGGGGAATTTATTAAAACTGAAGCAGACAAATTCTGGAGCCGCTGTGCATGGCAAGCAATCAGCATCTTTCATTTTCAAATCTTAACTGCACTGAAGAGAGATGCGGATTGGTTGCCATGCACAGCTGCTCCAGAATTTGTCTGTAAAATTACCAACTCCGCTAGCGGAAGTGATAACTAAAAGAAAGGCAGTCCTCAAAGTCAAAAACTTGGAAAAGAGAGTGTCCTGTATTGGTTCAAACAGAGTTAAGTGTCAGACCCTGCAATATCTTAGAAAGATTGCGTGCTGCCACAGGAGTTCATTTTTATACAGGAAGAAAACTTACATTTAAATCATGTAAGACTGAGGGGTACCATTAAGCAAATTCATGCAGTAATCTTATAAATCTAATAATAAATATGTTTCATTGTCCCCGTTTATCATTGCTTTGCCATGCTATACAATTATTAAGCGCCCCCCTGATAGGGCTGAAATCTGTACTTTCAGTGTGCCTAAGGACAAGCTGAAATTCTAATGTCCTGTAAAAATTCAAGAATAATCTGTACATCCAAGCTGCTGTTTGTTTTTGGTATACCAGGAGGAAGAGGTTTGCCAGACTTTTGCGTACATCTTCCCATTTGACAACTCAACACCCTTAGGTCCTAGACTTAGAGAGCCCCAACTACGCTATTGGAGCATCCCGTTTCTTAAATACCTCTGCCAGGACATAAATCAAAAGATGCAGATTGGGGTGACAGGTCACTGAACTAGAAGATTGTGATTATTTAGGAGGTACCAAGGAGACTCTAAAGACAAATTTGTCAGGCTGGCAAACCAAGGCCCTCTTGAGCCACCAAGGGGCTATGGGGAACAGTTTGTCTTAACGGTTCTATCTTTTGGACAATTGGTGGGAGAAGAGAGAAGAGAGAGGGGTGAATAATCCTAGGCCAGATTGAACAACTAGGGATGGGACAGAGCATTTATTCTTTTCCTCTATTTGTTCAGAGAAAATAAGTTCCTGGCCTGGAGGCACAGAGGTCTACTTGTCTATTAACTGGAGAAAAGCCTCCTGATTAAGCTTCTGGTTTGTCAGATGGCTTGTCAACTAAGAAAATCTGCTACCAAGTTCGACATAGTGGGTATAGCGGAAACCTGGCTGGACAGCACGCATGACTGGGCTACTAATATAGAGGGGTATAACCTGTTTAGGAGGGACAGAGGTGGGAGAAGGGGGGGGCGTTTGCATTTACGTAAAAAATAATCTAAATGTGCATATAAGGGACAATATCGCGTCAAATAATGGGGAAGACATCACTGCCACAGGCGGTGATTTCAGCAAATAATGTGGAATTGTTCAAGAAACTTTTGGACGATTTCTTAAGGGACCGTAATATACAGGGGTACAGGTACTCCTAGAATGAGATCCTAATAGGTTGGACTTGATGGACTAATGTCTTTATTCAACCTCAAATACTATGTAAGTTTAAGAACACCTTCATGAGGCCTTCCAACAGAGAGCAGACATTTTTATCCCTACAGGACAAAAATGTTTAAGCCAGTTCTAGCAACTCTGGTGATTTGGTATCTCCTTGGTGGTTGAAGATGGCTACTGGTCTTGATCTGTGACTAGATGTTGCAGGGATGCGTCCCCTATGGCTTGAAGTTCCTGGTATATCCATAAGACTGCTGTCATGGTCTCCCATATGCCATGGACCTGATGAGTGGTGTTATGGGCTCCCTAGCCCCTGGCACTGGCTGCCATGGTGATGCTGATTGGAGGAGACTGTTTCCAGGATCCAACATTCCAGTCTGATAACTGTTGAGCAGTTTTAGATTAACATGCAAAAAAAATACAAGCCTTCCAAAAGAGTTGACTCAAAGCTTCTACATGGATCTGATCCCTCAAGGTAGAAGGCAAGAAATTCCAGACAGTAACATTCTGACAAAAGTTGAACCACAAAAGGCCTGGATGAAATTTTGACCCATTAATGGCTGAATTGAGACTTGTGATAAGGCTGTATGCTACCGTGAACAAACAATTTGTCCTCTTTCACAGAAAACATGTTCCAAGATTTAAGGGTTAGGAACTTTTTTGGGTCTTTCCATTCCTTCAAAATTAAATCCTTTGAAGTCTGATAAGGAGAAACTCTCCCTTTATGCTTTTGAATACCACCATACATTTGGTCCTAAAAAAGAAAAGCTCCTTCACTTAATCATTGAAATAAATAACATTGAGATATATCTTCCTGTACTGGTTCAACCACTTCCTCTCTACAGCTGAACTCTCAGCAGAAGATTCATCCTCACCCTCCTCTTCTGCCTTTGGTACCCACCATGGTAGTGCAGCTGGTATGCAAATAGATTGAGAGGTTGAAGATCTAGAGGTAAAGGGCACTGTGCTGAAGGACTGAAGTTATTTATTTTCTCAAGGAAATCATAAACCCATTTATCTCAATTGCCATTCATTTTTGGATACAGGCCTCACAAAAAAAAGGCTTGGGATATGAGGCTTTTAGGATGTCTGCCCTCTGGTAGCATAGGTGACAGCTTGATCCATATGTAAGCCTACAACAAAATCAGCAAAGACCGAAACAATAGAATATGGGGCCAATAGGGGTAAAGGGACCTGGTACAGGAACAGACAACCCCCCAGCCTGTGCTACCACTGATCTTCAAGCCGCTAGCTAAGAGAGGGTAAGGAAACCTAATTTATCTTCTTGGAAGGCATTGTAGTCTTCTGTGTCCCAGACACAAGGAGTCTCCAAGGCAGTGGAAGTGTGGCACCCCTGCACTGGAAGTAAAGCAATAAACTCCCATCTCTGCCCTTTGCATGCAGGACATAAAGGAAATGTCAGTCCTAGTCACATATACTGCATCCAGCAGGTGATCACCCTTGCACCAAGCTGCCGATAGGAGCCCTTCAGCGATGACCCCTTCTACAGCACTGGCCCCAGCCTGTTGAGGAGGCAATGTGGAAGGTGGCACACAGCTGTTGTCTCCACACCTAGGGGGACAAGAACCAAGCAAAAAGGAAGCAAAAACCCAGGCAGGGGCAAGGCACAATACACAGACCTGTACCACCAGGATGACCACTTGCCAACAAGTCCTTAGAAAAAACAAATATGATGCAGAGTTCATGGCAGTAGGAAACACAAAACAGAAGGGCCAAGTTGGGTGGACAGAAGATTTAAAGTGCCTGCTCATGTTTCCTGACATAGGTGAATCATCTCTCACAAAGCTGTCCCAGAAGATGACTGGGAAAATACAAAAGCCTTTTTCTGCAAATTATGCACAATATTGAACATATACATAGCATTAACACACTATTCTACAACAAAATTGTTAAAATAAATTAGTCCTATAAATATCGATACTGGCAATGTGGGCCTCGCATTATGCAGAAGCTACTTTCCTAGCTCTCATAGATCCACTGGTTTCCTATACTTTGCGAGTTACAGACCTAGAATATAATGCAGATATTAACTTCTATCTTTCCAGATCTGCATAGTTATTCAATGTCAGTGACAAAGTAATGACTCTTGTGGCTTAGTATAGTAGCCTGGCATTTTTAGGTCAGCAGTGCCAGCTTTCATGTTTCTCTCAGAAAAAAAACTGTGTTGCCAAAAATCTAGTGTGCTTTTAATTTTGTTTGGGTCATCAACACAGTGTCCATGTTGCACTGATACCCCAAAACAGTGTTGTAGGCCTTGCCCAGTGCTCTTACTAGACTAGAGGACTTGTTCCTCTCACATTCAACATACATGTTAGTTGTCCAGCAGCACTTTATTCAGATTAAACACATTAAAAACCAAACATTGTGGTAAGAGAGTTACTAAGACATTAAGCCTGTTTTCAAGTCATCCAACTAGTTTTATGCATGATCCCATTAGGTGTTACACTGGCATTTCAGCATTGCTTCTAATAAGCTTTTGTAAAACATTTATGAAAGATCTGAAATAAAGTGCCTACATTTTTGGTCTTTTTTGATTTGCTTTTGTAAAACATTTAAGATCTGGAATATAGTACTTGAGTTCTGAACTGAATTTTAAAAGCAGTTTGCTTTGCTTTCTTAAAGAGGAACTTTATCCATATCTTTGAAATTAAAACAAAATACACCTTTAGAAATGTTTATTAAAAGGAGAACTATGGGGTCATGGCTTTTCCCCATAGTTCTCCTAACGGTAACAGGACATAAACTAGCGTCCTATCGTCACCCAAAGCTC